AAATCCTAAACTATCGATTTCCTTGGCCTTCTCTCCAACCCACTTAGTTTCCTGAATGCATAAAATATTTAATTTCCTATGAATCATAATATCTATTAATTCCATTAATTTTCCTGTAAGGGAACTTATATTCAAAGTTCCTATCCTATTTTTTGTTTCTTGGACTAGCTTCTTTGCCCACATCCGTCCTTGATGCGGGAACCCTTGCCTATTTAACACTGCACCCGGGCACCGATGCAGCGGCTCTTGCACACTTGTCACTGTATTCAGGCCATACAGCGCGTCGCTTCCAGGGGACGCCCTAGCATTAACACAATTTCTTAAAGGATTCATGTCATTATTGTTCGACAAGTTTTACGCTGGCTGTCGACTATCTAACGCAACCCTTCACTTTTCTCATCCAGGACTTGGGACCTGGCAACGGCAGTGTTTATTTTTTTTTTTAAATTATGATGCATATAATTTAGACATTATAATGTTATATTTATAAAAATTATATCTTTATGCGTCTTATTTAGCATAGAAAAAAAGAAAGACAAGCTACTCATATTTGTGTACTACCCATCCCATAATTTACTAAACTTAAATAAAATAAATAAGCTTACGCTATAAAAGAAATAAACCTTAAAACTGTTTAATCATATCTAACTTCAAAGCTAAGATAAGATGCAAGAAAGTAAAGGAAGAAGTACTTAAAAAAATTATATGAGTGAGGATATCATACCACAATTTAATGATAATGAAATTTATATTTATTAGATTTATTATAAAATGAGTGTAATATAAAATTTAGCTGATTATTCATACAAAATTTTAATGAGGAATTAATCATTTGTAACTTTTTTAAAGATAGTTAAAGAATTACTATGATAAAAATAATTTTTGAAAATTATTATGAATATTATAAATATTTTATTTTTAAAAAGTATACAACATTTTTTTTAACTGTTATTACACTCTAATAAAGTCGAATTTAAAAACTGTCTACACATCACAAAATTTTTTAAAAAGAGAAAAAAAAAACGGTGATGAGACAAATAGATGATTGTAATCTAAAATATAAAACTGTAAGAAAATATGTCCAAACAGAACTTTTACCACCAATAAGCTGGTTGGTTCAGCGTGATATCCCAAACCCGCACCTCCTTCGAATCAACAAACCCAACTAACCGCGGCCGGCACTCATCTCCCAAACATGCCCCAGTACGGTTCCAACTCACCATCACATTCTTCCTCACATCAGGCCGAACAACGAAAGCCGAACTCTGCCCATTAATCTCCCCGCCGCCGGTAATCCCCGCCCCGGTAGCGTTCTCCGCGAGCACAACGTACCACCGCGACGACTCCTTTGGGTAGTCTTCCTCCCTGGTGCCGCCAAGAATCCTTGCTCCGCCCTCCACTTCTAGGATTACGTGGGACCGTAGGAACAGCGTACCAGTGAGGTAGTCGCCCCCGGCAGGGAAAATTACTCGGCCGCCGCCGGCAGAAGCGCAGGTGTCGATTGCGGATTGGATATGGTTAGTGTCGTAGTGGATGCCGTCGCCGACGGCTCCGAATTCAGAGACGGAAAAGGTGAGCGAGGCAATGCAGGGAGAGTACAGGGAGATGAGAAAGAAGACAATTAGGGCAGACATTTTGCGGATAGTGATTGGAGCCGAAGAGTATTTCAATGCCCTTGTTTGACCCGTATAGGCGATTCATACGTAATCCCATTTTTTTATTTCTGGTGGGCGGTTTTTAAAACAAAGCTCGTAAATTTTGTATTAGAAATAGATACATTTAAAACAAGCTATCGTGCACGTATTCCGCGATTTGATTTTTTTTTTTTTTTTCGATTATCATGTTTGAGGGACTCGCTCAAGTGGTGCAAGGACCTAAGCACTGGAGGACAAAAAATTAAGACCAATCATATCCTCCAAGCAATGCCCTTTAGGGCTGCAAACGAGCCGAGCCGAGTATGTGAGTGTTCATGTTTGTGTTCATTTAATATCAGCTTGTTCTTGTTTGTTCGAGCTTTAGCATTTGTGTTCATGTTTGATTCGTTTAAATTAAGGAGTGTTCATGTTCGGTTCATGTTCAGTTCATGTTCGTTCGTTTAGTGTTTATCGAGCTTAATCGCGAACATATTTAACGAATTTTTTAAACTATCAAACAAACACGTTTATGATCATATCTATGAACAAACACATTTATAATAAAAGCAATTGCTTATGTAACAAAGGCAATGATTATTTATATTTATTAATTATATAGTCAAACATTAATTATTTTTATCGAGCTTATTGACAAGTTCAAAATCGAACACGAATCGAGCTTAATGTCGAGCTTGTTCACGAACTTCAAATGATATTGTTCACGAACATAAATGAGCCGAACACATTAGTGTTCAAGTTTGTTTATTTAAGAATTGAGTATTTAAAATATTGTTCATGTTTGTTTGTTTAGTTAATTAAACGATCGCAAACGAGCTTTAATCGAACTGAACAATGAGTAGCTCGTCGAACGTTTGGTTCGCTTGCAGCCCTAATGCCCTTCCCCCAGAGACATGCGACCTTAGAAATTCTTCTTTCAGCTAGACAATTCTATATGCGTCTAAGCTAGAACCAATACTTTCATACTCAAGGAGCTACCGACACACATCCTCCCTTTTCAAAGATTTTCCTCTCGCATGCACTTGAAAACAACAATCTAACACTAAACACCTTACTACCTCAATAGGGTGACCCCAATCTATCCATTAGTAGCTGGATAACAGTCGCCCCCTTCCATCAAAGTGGGGCGACTGTTGATTATCATTTGATCATACCCATCTTGCCTTCTCCAATGGACAACTAGCTCGGCACTAGTAAGCTATTCTTATGGAATGATGGGTTAGCTACGTACGAAGAATTGACTCCTGCATCTTTTCAAACCCTATCAAAGGAGAAGGAGGAAAGGGAGGGAGAGAGAGAGACTACGGACACTTTGGGAAAAGGAGTTTTGATAGCTTCATTCTTCTTCTACAAATCCATCTTTTTCAAGAGAAGATCATATAATGAGAAAGAGGGAAAGATGGTTAAAGATGTACAATCTTTAAAGTGATATTCTTAAAGTACTATACTACTTTTTATTGTATTTCCCAAGCTCCATAGTGTAGAGTTCCTACTTTCATTAATCTTGTATTTCTAACTTAGTTAATAAAAATTATGTCTAAAGTTCATGCTTCTCTCTAGCTCACATCCTTTATTCTTTTGGTATACTCATACCTCATAACATTTTTCCTAATAGTTCTACACCAACACGTGCAATAAGTACAACCAAATATCATCCACCAAACAAAATGCAATTTAATGTTCTATGAAGTGCGGTGAGTATGGATATTGATGCTGAATGAAAAAAAAAATGGTTTTGTACTAACCATGCGGAAGCCTCATAGAATACCATGAATCTCTAAGTATAAAACTTGTTGAGTTACTCGCTATAAAGGAGCACCTTTTGAAGAGCTTTCAAAATAACCTCGTCATGGATAACAAATTCTTTTATGAGTGGTTAGTTCATGAAAGGGACCATCAAATCCCGATACTCGCCAGGATCCACCAAAAGAAGCTCATGATTCTGATCCAGTCACCAATCTTACTTGCCTTTGGGTGAGAGATAAGAACTCTAGTTTGACTGTCAAATAAACGAAAGAAACCAAACTAGGACCAACGAACATCTTTTTAAGATCGATCTTTCAAGAAAGCGTACCCCTCCAATTCAAGGTACCTCTTTTTGAAGCTTCTTTACGACTTGAAAGACTTAACACTAAGGTGGTTCACTCACTTACTTAGTGGGGAGGTCACCTCCTTTGAGTTCAAGCGAATAGTTATTGTATAATTTTCCAGTGCCTAGAGACCTCCTAAAAGCTCATAGATCCTACTAAAGATGAGCTCAGAACTAGGGCAGTCACTGAGAAGCTTTATATTTTGATTCAAGAAAAAATACTTGATGTTAAAGGCCTTGAGTTGGCAGTCTCTCAAGTAATTCTGACTTAGTGGCTAAGAGAAGGTTCCTTCTGGTATATATTGGCCTTACTTTAGCCACGAAAGATGACAGAATTGTTGGAACTCTCATATAGTCATGTCAAATTGGAAGTGTACAATCAAGTTATTGAACTTATCACAATCAGTCCATTCAATAATCTGACTTCGAGAAGAAACTTTCTCTTAGAATTATCAGATAAAGAGTTTGATATCAAGGGAAAAGGAACCAAGTGCCAAGATTTCAACATAATAGAAGGCATCCTTATCCCTATGGCATACCTCCATATCTGACATTTCTCAGAAATAAAACTCCACCTGTACCAAGAATTGAAGAGGTATGCAGAGAGGTTTCTCACTAACCTCAAGAGTATCTAACTTATACTATGTTGAGATTATCTATGGTTGAGCTCATAGAGACCATCTAGAATAAGGAATTTTTTAGGCGTTTACCACATAAGAAATTTGATAACACTCATGACATGTCTTGATACTACACTTTCCAAAGAGATCATGAGCATGATATTGAGGAATGCCAACACCTGTGGAATATAGTTGAAGAAATCATTAAAAAAGGAAGCTCAAAGATTCATGCTAGCTAATCTGAATTGAAGACTAGGAAAGTCTCCAGTTGAAGAAGTTGCAAGCGAGTCAAGGTCATCAAGTTTTATTCATATTGCTGGGGTAGTTCCTATAATCATTGGAGGCAACTGAAGAACCCTTCACCACCTTCAAACAAATCATGAATCACTAAAATTAGCACTACTTCATATTTCTAATCCACCAATGACACATCAATTTCAATTAATAATAGATATAATCCCACCAATGGTAACCCTCCTAATGAAGCCATCATCATCATCACCCTAATCACTAACTATCAGATCAAAAATATTTTGATAGATATAGAGAGTTCAACAAATATTATCTTAAAAGTCATCTTTAACAAAATAGGCATGCTCGCTCTTGTATTGTTCATAATACGAGGCCACACTATGGATTCTTAGGGGGAAATAGGGGGAATGAAAGCATAATCGCCTACCAATCACTTGGGGCAAGGGAAATCATTAATACACCACCATGGGAGAGTTCATCAAAATTAAAGCTCCATCCACTTATAATTCCATATTCGGAAGACAGCTACTGAATACTTTCCATATTGTGTTATCCACATACCACGCTATTGTCAAGTTCCCTACTAAAAGAAATGAAATCACCATATGAGGTGACCTAACCTAATTGCACACTTACTACCTTTGAATAATATGTCTAGCTGACACTTTCAAAGAAACTTTATAAGTAGTCAAAAAACAAGGCCCAAACCTTGAAGCAACTGAGGCTATTAAGGAAGTACTTATAATTTGAGAATAATAAGGTGGATCCTTTAGGATTAGCACCTCTTTCAGCAAAGAGAATTAAGAAAAGCTAATCAAGCTCTCTATAAAAACCTCAAAGTGTTTGCATGGATAGTCATAGAAATGTTAAGTATCTTTGAAGAAGTTGCATGTCATCGACTTAACATTCAAAAGGCTATTATCCTTATCAAATAGAAAAAAAAAAACTATCGCCTGACTTGCCAAACCTATTCAAGAGGAAGTAGGAAAGCTACTTATCCATCATTTCATCAGTGAAGTATAATATCTAGATTGGATCTCCAATGTGGTGATGATTCAAAATTCAACATAAAAATGAAGAATGTGTATATATTTAACTAACCTAAACTTGGCAAGTCATAAGAATAATCACCCTCTCCCGAGGATTAATGCCTTAGTCAATTGTATAGTGGGTCATGTCATTATTGTTGAAACTTGTTTAATATGAATTAGGTTGTTAGACCTAAGCTTATATCCCAGCAGCAAACCAAGATGGGGGAGGGGAGGTTGAATTAGTAATTTAAAATTTTTCCCTCTTTAATTTTTCAACCGATAAAAACTTTAATGAATTTTTGAAAAAGATTTTTCAACCACAGATCAACAGAAACAGTAAAGTAAAAAAGAGCAGCAGAAAATAAAAAGACACGAGATTTATAGTGGTTCGATCAAACATGACCTACATCCACTCCCCAGAGGCACCCACCAAGTATTGCACTAATACCACTAGTGACTCTCCTTTTGTCCCCACAGCAAGGCGGAGAAGCCTTCACAAAAGCTCTCTTCCACCACTACCTGGTGTGGCAGAGAACCATCTTTTTTTACACTATCTAAGAGTTGGCAGAGAACCCTTCGTTCTTTCACACTCTCTAAGTGTAGGCAGAGAACCTTTCGTCCTTTCACACTCTCCAAGTTTAAGTAGAGAACCTTCTGTCCTTTCACACTCTTCAAGTGTAGGCAGAGAATCTCCCTTCCTTTTACACTCTCCAAGTGTAGGCAGAGAACCTTCCGTCCTTTCACACTCTCCAAGTGTAGGCAGAGAGCCTCCCATCCTTTTACACTCTCCAAGTGTAGGTAGAGAACCTTCTGTTGTTCACACTTTCCATGAGTGTCGACAGAGAACTAGATCTTCTTGAATGATCTTCACACGAAAAAACTAGAAGGACGAGAGAAAAGAGTGACGAAATCATAAATCACAATTGGAGAATCTTACTTTTGAGTACTAAGTGAACCCTTCACGCTCTAGTAGTAAGAATCCTCCTTCAAACACTCTCTCACACTCTCTCCTTCAATCTCCCTTTAGTTTGCATGAAGAACAGTGAGCAAAAAGATTACAAGATAGTTTTAAGTGGACCTTATATAGGAAA